TCACTAGGACCAATTTAGAACTCCAAACCTCAACATTTAGAACACTTCTGTGCCAGTTTTTGTTTAAGCACACCAGCCATTCAACAAAAATATTTCTACTGTCAAATTTCATCTCTGTGTTTGGTAAAAGAGGAAGGTGTGGGCTCAAAGGGTTCAGGATGTCAGTGTCAGGAGAAAGTAACCAGCAGGAAGAGTGAAAGAGCAACTGGGAAGTAAATAAGGGAAGGGAAATTGGGATCCCTGAGGTAGTTCTCGAAGGTGAGGAGGTAGGTATAGAAAGTAGTTCATAGAAAGAAGTTCAAAGAGGTGAGAAAGGACATCCACAAATCCAGGAAGAGAGAGACCACTGAGCAAAACCTGTTTTCCAGCAGATTCAAATAGAATTAAGTAGTACTAGCTTGGCTTTGGGAAATTGTGTGCAGGACCTAGTCCAAGGGGGCCTGCCATGATTGATTGTTCACTAAACATTTTACCTAGAGCCAGCCTCAGATCTCTGTGAGTTTTCTCTACTTAGTCTTGGAAATACTTGTTGAACTGTGGTGAATTTTTGCTGATGATACTGAGGCTTGCTGTGTGCCCTCTATGATTGAGATGCTGCCCCTATCCAGCCCTGGAAGAAATATACTGAGTAAATGATCCCTTTGTCCAGCTGGGCCTGTGTACCTGAGCTGGTTTACTGGTTGTCCTCCCATAGGATGGGGGAAGACGTGAGAGGATACACTACAGCAACCACCCTACCCCCACCACCTGTTCCTGCTTTGGGGCTATGTAGTCCTGTGTTAGAATAGGGAGGAAGCTGTCTTGTAAATGACCACTATCCTGTTGTCTAGAGATCAAGGAAGAGAGAAGGCTGCATTCAGACTTCCTGTCAGAGATGGAGTCTAGTATTTGCATAAGTAGTAGAACTCCCTCACACATAGTTTGCTAGAGAGCAGAATTAACATTAAGTGAATTCACCCTCAACCCCTTCCCAAAGGGTAGTTATTTAGCAGCCAGACCATCAACATGGCTAATGTGGGACTGCAGTGTCAGTTTCAGGGTAAAAGCCTTTCAATTTCAATATTAATACCCGCTTACCCCCTTTCCCCCATATATAAATACCTATGAGTAACAGCTCATATTTGCAGGACATTGTCCAGAGTCAGGGAGAAGTTTGTGGCCTTTGGAGACACCAGCCAAGTTACCTAGAATGAAACTCATGTCCTTGACCTAATTAGTCCAGTTTGATAAGCAGCTGAACTAAGTGCCCATGGCTGTCAGAATAACAACTGAAACAGAATCCGGTATTTCTAGACATTGTTATGTCACCTGGAGAGTTCTATCCCAGTGATGGATTTTTGTACTGGAGCTGGCTAGGAAGTCATGTGCTTTTTGCAGTGTGGCTTAAGTAAAACATTCCTGAACTATGTTTTAGAAATGCTGTAGTACTGCTGCCATAGGTTAGGTACTCCATGAAACAGACTCTAAGACTGAGATGTGCAAGCTGAAGCTTATTTGGTGAGTGCTTCTGGGAATAACAACTGTGAAAGCAGGATTGGGGCAGGGGAGAAATTGAGACAAGACATCCAGGTCTTCATCCCCACCCCCACCCACATCAACCAGTCATCAACCAGCTATGAACCCTCAGCAGCCAACACTCCCAAGCATCTGGGGAACAAGTGCCTTGACCCTGAAGTGGTAATCCACATTAGGCAGTAGTAATCCACATTTTCTGCTACAATTGTCAACTAGCACTTTTACTTCTCAAGTATCTCTACATTTACTATATCATTTTACCTACCAAGTAGCCTGTGAGGTAGACAGGGCCAGGTAGGGCTCATTTTCCCCTTTATACACATTAATACCCAGGGAAAGCTAAGTCCAGAGAATGAATGTAAAAGACTTGCCCAGAGTCACCTAAGATGTGTCTCTGGCTCCCACCCAGAGCGATCTTTACTTAAGATTGTGTTTTTTTTCCTACCTCTAGAGTTTATAGAGCTGTAGAGCATCAGAACCAGAAAAGACAGGGAAGGCACCTAGTCCAGCCACCTCACTCTAAAAGTAAGAAAACAGGCTCAGAAGTGGGGGGTGATTTTGCCAAAATCAAGCTGCGAGTCTGTGGCAGAGCCCAGCCTTGTGACTAGATTTCCTGCACTCAGGAGCCAGTGTTCATGACCTCTGTGTGCTGGGCACAATGTACCACATAGGAGCTACAGACGTGAGCAGGTCATATGCCCTGCCCTAGAGGATTTTAGAATCCAGTAGGTTTCTTTAGTCCACTTGAATTGTTTCAATGAGAGAGTGAAACTTTTTGTTCTAGGCTTTCCCTCCTATATCACCTTGCAGAGTCTAAATCCAGAAGAAAATAGCATAGTGTCAGAATGGGTAATCTGTGTTCTAAACTGCCCACTAGCAGATGCTTATAAACACTCCATGCAGACATACACAGATACTCTTCCCAACCAAGATTCATCTCCAAACCAGTGTCAGGGTTTGGAGTGTCAGTGTCATTACTAAGAAACAGATAACTGCTTTCTTTTCCACCTTCTCTTTAAATACTTCATAGTATTTGTGGCTCTTTATTCTTTTTCTAGGATGCAAAGATAATGGCTATATGGGGTAAAGTGGGTAGGGTTTGGCTTATGAAGTCACAGGCTTACCCTCACTACAGGCCTTCCCAGAGTTGTTCCCACAGCTAGGACCATAGTGAGGCATGTCTACCCTGGGGCAGGCAGAGAACATTTGCTCTCACAGCTCTCACCACTGGAGTTTCCCATCAGAATGCATTGTACCTCCTGTTCTCACTCTCCAGATTTAAAACTTCTTTACTGGTGACAGCTGGTCACTGTTTACAGCGCCTTTTCTCTCCCCTCTATCGGAGTGGTTAGTCAGTCACCTATGCTCTATTTAATAAACCAGGTAAACCGAGGCAGACCTGACAAAAATTTCTCTTCACCTCCCAGGTCTCTCAGAGAGCTCCCCACAGGGGCAGAAATTTGCATATATGCCTCGCCTAGGAAAGGAGGCCCCAGAGCTGCTAGAACACTGTTGAGAAATGCACATAGGAGCATAGTCCTTAAAAGAAATGAGGGGCCGGCCGAGTGGCGCGATGGTTAAGAACTGGCTTGGGATGCCAGAGGGCCCCGGTTCGGATCCCACATATGAGGGCCAGTGACACTGCNGCTCATTCTCAGGCTTCTTTTCCTTTTGTGCCTTCATGCAGTTACAGCAACCACAGGGGTCATGACTTTCAGGAGGTCTATCTTCTGGGTATTTGTTTCTTCTAATTGCATCAATGTAAGCTGGAAAACAACAGCCCCTCCATTAGGCCTCTGTCTGCCTGCAAATCAACTCTGCTACTTGTCTTAGGGAGGCTGCTTATAGGCATGAGCAAGTGAGTGTGAGGGCCAGACTATTGACATCATGCTGACTTTTAGGCATCCATACAAAACTGAACAAACATCTTCCTTGAGAAAACAATACAGAAAATATGCAGGCAACCATGAAAAACTTAAAATGCCAGAAACATGAAGCATAATAACATCCACCATACCTACAGTGGTTGGTCAGTCAGCAAACAATTTTGATTCGGAGCCAGAAAAGGGGCTCAAAAGGCATTTGCCTGATACCTTGCCTTTCGTGCAGTGAAGGGAAGCCTAGTTCTCTGTGGTCCATGGTCAGAAGTAACATTGCTCATAAAATAATATTTTTGTTGCAATGCCTCCCACCACTAAGATTTAAAGTAGAGTTGAATTCAATTCTTTTAAACTAACAGTTATAGAACTAATATGTACAAGACATTTGGTTAACTAGATCAAGGAGATGTACAGGGTAACAGCTACTCGTGACCACAAAGAAGTTATATATATTTTAAAGGGAGAAGATTGAGTCAATCATAACGCCTACAAAATGTAAAGAGGCCCATAGCAATCAAATCAAAGAAGGCAGAGTATTCATGCCCTATCTGGAGGATATGGAAAAGGCTGTAAAAACATCTATCTTCTGCTTAACACCACTTAGTGACTATCCACCCCTTGTCCAGATTTCTTATCATGGACCCAGGCTGCTTGTCTAGCCTCATATCTTACCACATGTTCCTTTGCAGCCTATGCCTGAGCCACACAAAACTCCTTTCAGATCAGCAATGCTTTTTCTTTTTCTCTGTGCCTTTGCACATGCTGTTCCTTCTGCCTGCAACATTCTTTCTCTAAGCCTAACTCCAGCACATCCTTTATGTCATCAAATGTAATACTTTTTCCATGAGGCCTCCTCGACACCCAGGCTGTGTTGGGTGCGTGGTCAGTATGTTCCCCAAATCTATGACCTTGGTGTGTTTAGCCCAGAACTTATTGGCCCTGTTTTGTAATTGTCCGTTTACCTGTCAAACTCCCTCAGTGAACTGAGCCAAATCCCTGCTGCAGGATCAACATAATGCAGGGTACATAATAGGTACTGGATCAATATCCTGCCTGACTGGAGGATGGAAAAGGCCGGCCTATCCACCCTGATGCAGGCTGCAGGGATAAGACCAAGTCGAGACCGAGGGTCAGGCGGCCCAGTTCGACGGTGAAGATAAGGGTCGAAAAAGAAAGCCGCGGGAGACCACATCACCCCGCTGGTACTCGGGCCACCCTGGCGCGGGCGGGGCCTGATTGCCGCGGGGCCCGGGGCGGGACACGGGCCGGGGCGGGGCTGGGGGCCGGAGGCAACAAGTCGTCACGGATGACTCTGGGTTCCCGGCCGGTTCCACTACTTAAGCCAGTGCTCCTGGTTTCTGGATTCCGACCCCTGCCCTGGGTGGTCCCCACTTCATCCGGAACCCTACTCAGGCTCAGCATCTTCTCATAGGCCTCCATCCTTCACCTCAGGCCCGGGATCTCAGCCCTCGGGCACCTTCAAGAGCCCTATTCCTGATCTCTCCCGAACCCCGCCCTCTCCGACCCTCTGGCCAGGACGTGGGCATACCTTCCGTCCAGCGCTCCCCGCTGCCCAGAGTTGCTGCCATATCTGTCGGTTCCTAATCTGCAGATCAGCCGAGACTCCCCCTCGCCTGAGGCTGAAAGATATGGGGGCGAGAAGCGCGGGGCATGCTGGTTATTGTAGTCGAGCCCATAGGGGCTGCGGGACGGTAGGACTACAACTCCCGGCAGGCTCCCCGCCAAGGAGCCCTCGGAGGTGCAGCGGGGTAAGGGGCTCGACACCTGAAAGCGAGGGCTGTGGAGGTGCGCTGTTGGTAGTTGACCGCTCCGCCCGCTAGTGTCTCACAGCCGGAAATTGTGGCCCCTGTGAGCCGCACTTTTCCTCATCTGTAGAATGGGGAGAGGGGCTTCGGCCCAGCTTAACGCTGGGGACATTCAAGCAGGCGCGATGAGATCCTGCTTGGGAAAGGCTTTGCAAACTGTGGGCTACAGGGTGACGGTGTGACTATTTTTCTCGTCAAGATTTCGTTTTAAAATATACGCTAATGTCTGTTGGAGATTCAGAGACAGGATTGGGGGATGCCCAACCCAACCCTGGGAACTTAAGAGCCGTGAAAAGTAGAAAACGGGTAGATTTATGTAGAGGGCAGTCTGGGTGTGCCTCTCCTCCCCCCAGCTCTTCCAGACAGCGTAATTAGAAGGACCACGAGAAGTCAGGGGTAGAGACAGAAGAAAAAGGCAGGCACACATTGGAACTGGCATTAAAGCCCCTCCCTATCTTTGCTGTTCCTTATCTTTCATCCTATCCTACTCTGGAGCCCTCTGAGACGTTTCTCCTCTCTTCCACCCCCGTCGTTTCCTTGGCCAATTCCCGTCTTTTCTGAAGGACCAGGATTTAGGAGATTAGTAAAAATGAAGTGAAATATTCCTGCTTTCCCCACTCATATTTACATGGAGCCTTCTAGCAAAGAATAAAAGAAATTCTTCATAGGTGGATGGGTATAGTGTCCTTACTAACTCATGCCTGCAGGTGAGTTCCCCTGGCCAAAGATCAGGTCTGCAAAAGTGAAAAATTATCATGTTCATCCCCAAACAAATTTAACTGGAATTCATTGAGATCTTACCCAGAAAGACCNAGAAGCCCTCATTAGATTTTTTGTAAGTACGTGTGTATGCATGCTGGCCTCTATACAGATGTGTGTGTGTGTGTGTGTCTGTGTCTGTGTGTGTGCGCGCGCGCACGTGCGCCCCCATATATGTGTCCCCTGTGTGTGTGGGACCTCAAAGGTCAGGTTGTGTTTGCTCCTTTTCCACAATGAAATCATTCTTGAAACCTACGAACAATGTGAAAGGAAAACAAGGCAGGGAAGTGGAGCCGCCCAGCTGGGTTCCCGTCCCTCCGCTCTAGCCGGGACTGCAGCCGCTGGCCTGGTCCTCCTGCTCCCTTGGCCCCTCATCATCAGGGAAGCACCAAGCCCAGGTCTGGGTAAACAGAGGCGGCTGGGGGCCAGGGACCCACCCAGCCTGGGGCAGCCTACGGTCTGTTTATTTTCCTTAGCCACTGCCTTTCTCTACGGGGCTATCCCTTGGATAGTATGGAATTGTTTCCAAGTTCAAGCTTGCCCAAACCCTGGGCCGTGTTTTTCCAGGTCACCGTCTCTGGGAACCCCTTTCCCTTGTTGGGTGGAGGCTCAAAAGGGGAGTTTAAAACTTGTAGGTGCCCCAGGCTAGAGAGAACTCTTTCCAGCTGGGCAATGATCCTTTCAATTCAAGTTACATTCTGAAAACATCTGTCAGTTATTGATCAAGCATAGCTAAAGTACTGTCTAAGCTCTATAAGGTTATATAACTTTAGTTTTTAGTGAGAAGGCACAGCGCACTGTAAACCAGTGTCTTAAAAGGAGTTCCAGAGTCACAAGCTCCAAGTACTAGTAGCCTGCTCCTCCTGCCCCCTCCCCCTACCAGAACTTTTTGTCACCAGTATATTTCTCTGNGCTATAACTCAGAAGAAGCCCAACCTGCCCCTCAAAACTCACCCAAGTGGACCCTCCCATTTCATCTAGTGGTGCTGATGTGCCATTCCTTCCCTCAGCTCCAAGCTGAGTGTTAGCCCTAGAATTTGGCTCTGGGTCCCTCAGCAAAGAGGGGCAAAGGGGAGCCCCGAGGGTCAGGCATGTACCTTCAGATTCCTTGTTCTTCTGGCACTTAAACTTTAGACTGACCACACTGACAAGGATGATCACCACAACCACCAGGATGACAATGAAGCTGATAACACCTGAACAGGGAAAAGGATGGAGTGAAGGGGAGGCAGAAAAGGGGACAAAAGGGGGTAATAGGAGTTCAAATTCTCTTTCCAGCTAAGTGCTGTGTAGACAGGCTCCAGAGCAAAGTGTGGATTCCCCTTCTCTGCTGAATGAGTGAGCTCTCGGCCTGCTGCCCTGGCCAGAGTGGGCTTCACCGCCCTGCCCAGTCCTCCTATGAGGACATGGAACCCAGAAAGAACTGGAGAGTCCGTTCTTTCCCACCAGAGCCTTCTTCATTAGCGAACCCTTCCTAGAACAAATGGATGAGATTTGAACTTGTTTTTTTTGGACCCAGCATCCAAGTCAGTTCAAGGGTGGGGCCCCCTGCCATACCCCACCTTCTCCTCCTTCTTACCAAATGCAGCCACAGTGAGCACCGTCTCTGATGTAGGGCTGGGCAGGATGGTCGAGACTTCTTGTGTCCTCAGGCTGATGGTGGCTGGTTTGGGAGTAGCATTTTGAGAGGTGTCTAAAATGGAGTGGGGATGGGTGCATCAGTGAAGGGACCGACACAGCCTATCAGAGACAGCTAGTTCCCCTCCTGCTTTCCCCAGGTAATGGACAGCAGACAGAGCTCATGCCCCCCAGAAAAGGCTTCTTCCCTGCCCCTCCGACCAGATCCCATGAGGATGGATGTTGGAACTGGGTGATGTGGGACCACGTGACTGACATTGCTGGTTGCTGATGTTACTAGTTCCAGAGGACTCCAGAAAGTTCAGGATGCTTCCCTCATTATGCTCTTCCCACCACCCCCTTGGAGCTCAGAGGAAAAGAATTTGTGCCACAGAGAGAGTGAGCCAGACTAAGCAAGGTAGAGCCATCTGTGTTTCGTCAAGGGTCAAAGTGAGAGAAAGAAGGACACTGGATGTTTGTCCCCAGTCACTCATCTAACAAGCCAGGCTGCCAGCTAAAGGGCATAGGTTTCTGGCCTTCTTAAAAAGTGGTTTGGTCATCAGTCTCTTCCCCTTTTCAACTCGTACTACAGGCCCGAGTGCTGTTCCGTTTTGTTGTCCTCACCCCCCTCCCAAATAAGTCTGGGAGTGGAAAAAAATCTCAGAGCCAAGGGGTAGGATGAGTGAAAGGGTCAGGTTGTCCTTCGTTGTGAGCAAAGACAGGACATAACCTCCTCCTGGGCAGCCACTACTGCTGCTGATGCGTGGGACACTGATGCCTGTGTCATGAAACAACAGGGCCAAGATGCAGGGTATCCACCCCTGCCCTGCTCTCCTCCCATGATGCTGGGTGAAGGCCAGCCTTCCCTGAGAAGCATGTAGCCCTTTCTGCCTTCCTTTCCATCACTTTGGGTTCTCCTTAAACCTCCCTTTCCCTCTCTATGCCTTTGTCAGTCCCGAGACAAGGCTCTCTCTACCTTCATTGTGACCAGGCCCAAGTCCTTGTCTCTACTCTCCACTAACCCTCTTATTCTCTCCCAAACCAGGATGCCGCTGATGTGGATCCCGGTCTTGAGACCCCTCATTGTAGGGCAGGACCTAGGTGCCCTGAAAAGGAGAAGAAGGAACCCAGCCAGACATGACCCAGTGTATTTCACTGCCAGCCCCAGGTACTCACCAAGTCCTGGCGTGTGCTGTTGTGGCTGGGACTGACTCAGGCCCAGAAAGGACAGGGTGTGACCATCCATGGTACGTGACCTTGGTGTCACAGGATTATTGGATACTTTGGGGACCTGTGAGGCCTTCTCTGGAGCACCTATAGATATGGAAGCACATGTGGGCCTGCTTAGGGCCTCAGCCAGCATGTACACAGGGTCCAAAATTGTCCTTTTCATTACTGCTTTCAATTCCAGAAGAAGCCATCCTCTCTTTCACCTCTGGGCCTTTACCTGTGCAGTTCCCTCTGCCTGGAATACACCCTACCACCCTCTGCCCCAGTTTTCATCTGGCTAACTCCTTGAGGCCTCAGCTTCAGAGCTCACTCACTCTGGGATGTCCTCCCTGATCCCCAAGTCCCCAAGTCCGAAGTGGCTGACATTTGTCTGGGCTCCCACAGTATCTTATGCTTATGCCTATCACAGCCCTTCTCACCCTGCTTTGTAACTGTCAATGTGAGGTCCTATTTACTTCTCTGTTCCCCCACTAGTCTGTATTCTCCTTTCGAGCATAAACTGTGTCTGCTTCCTCATTGGGCCTTCCCTGGATGGCATTTGTAGTCTGAGTGGCAGAGTACCTGGGGTACCGGTGCTGGACGGAGGGCATGGACTACCTGGTTCTGAGGAAGGGCTGTCTCCTGCAAGGACAGAGACAGAGGGGGAGTTGGATGTAGGGCAGGTTTGGTGACACCACACTCCTGTGCCCATACGAGAACCCTTGGGCCCCAAGCAAATCTGAAGGGCTGGGCAGGGGGCTGGGTGGCACACAGGGACTGGCCCTTCGGCAACCACACTTACCTGTGTTGGGAGAAGTTGGCTCTGTGATCAGACTTAAACTGAAGGCTCCTGAAACACATCACCTGAGGCTGAGGGTCTGCTGCCTCCTATTGCTCTGTCTCCCTCTCCTTACCTATAGCTGATGTTTTCTAGTCTTTCTTTCTACCTCACCCTCCACCCCCAACCATTCATTTCTCTCCTCTTTCAAGGCATGTTAGACTGGGCCAAGCTGACAAAGGTCCTTAGATGAGCTCAGCCTTAGATGTCCCGAGAGCTCTGCCCCAGCCCTAATAGCCTGAGATCAATGCAAAACAGGCCTAGAGCTCCTCTTACCCTCCTTAAGCTCCCAGACCTAAATGCTAGAGGAGGCCCTTTGTGTTGAGTCTTACCTGGAGTGCCAGAGGGCTGTATTGTGGACTGGGAGTTGTGGCCTGCAAGAGAAAGCAAAATAATCAGACTAGCTTTGTGTGTCTCCTCCCCAGCACAGAGGCAACAGAAGAACTGAAGCCTTTTGATTTTCCAAGCCTCCTGTGCTGACAAAGAATTCAAGGGGCTGGCTTCCTCTGAGACTGTGACTGAACAGCACCATCACCACCACCTCATGATTCAGTGTCCCAGAGTCCTTTCCTGTTTCTCCAATCCCACATGGGTTTTATACCAA